CAGGGGTGTCAAACTCAAGGCCCAGGTGCTTAGAACTGGCCCATGGGGCCACCCTGGAAACAGCGAAAGACCAGCCCATGGTGCTTCTTCCAACAAAAATGGAGCTTGGGAGGGACACATACAATCCCCCCAAGCTCCGTTTTCACTGGCAGAGGGCTTCAGGAGGCAGTCACACCCGAAAACAGACATCGAGCTGGCCATGCCCCCCTTCCCAAGGACAATCAACCCTGATCCTGCCCTCAATGAAATAGAGTTTGACACCCCAGTTTAGAGCATTGTCATTATAAAGTTTGACTCCTTGTGATGAGAGGACTGACATGCCTAATTAAAAGAATAGGTCCTTATTCTTTTCAGCAGACCTATTAATTTCAGACAGATCATAATATATTAAATCATTTTTATTCTTTCCAGCACAACGGAATGTTGGAAAAAATATATATGGCTCAGAACTCAGTCAATAGGATAGCTTTCAAAAAGTGAAAAAAAAATGGGGTCAAATTTGATATGGGAAGAGAAATTGGTAAAAGAAAGCCTAAATTCAAAAATGGCCAAAATTCCAGGAAGTTCATTTGGTGTGTTGCTGCCTCTTCCATTCTCCTTCCCTCCCTTCTCCCTCCTGGGCATTTGATGCAGATTAGAGCATATTCAAGCAGTCCCATCATGCTTCCATTGCACACACATACCCACAAAGAGAAAAGATACAGGAGGGGAGAGCAGAAACATGATTGATTACACATAAGCAATATACATGTACTGACCCTGATTAATATTTGAGGAGGAAATGCACATGCACACATAAAGACAACATGTGACTTTATTATGCAAAAGAAGCGGAGCCATTGTTGGTAAGTAATTAAGAAGAATTCTAGAATTCACGATCTGCATATTTTCCTAATCTTTATACAGCTAATTCCATGGAAGAACCTGACCTGTATTTTAACATCACATTTTAATTTTAACAAAAGTTTTCTAGTTAAAAGAAAAAACCCTCAATTATGGACAAGCACAAACAATATATTAATATTTTAGGTTCATATTTAAAATAAAACATTGCTAAATTATAGCAAGCCATTATTAGTCATAATTTAAAAGAGCAAAGGAAAACGTATACATAAAAAATAACTAACTGGGTTGTATCCTGCCATTGTGCATTTATCTGTGAACAGATGCTGAACAATATGCTGTTGGACTGATTATAATGGGACTGCCTTAAAAAGTATGACCTTGATTGTGCCAATTGCACTAGACTTAAGGGTTTTTCAAATTGCAAATCTTAGTTATTATATGCATAGCAATGCTTTTAACATTATTTCCTGGGCTGCAAGAACATAAGTTAATCAGTACCTTGTGACTATGACTAATGTATTTGCAATCTTACTTTTCCAGAAAATGGAATACTGACAAGCTCTTTAAGGTAAAACATAGGTCTGAGTTCACATGGCCTTTTTCAATATTACTATGGTGGTGTCTGCTATTAAAGAGGTGGGTGAGAGGAATGCAAGTGGATATAGTCTCTATTATGAAATCTAAATGTCTGACTTTATACTGTATAACATGGTTAAATTTCCCTATAGCAGGGGTGTCAAACTCACATCATGGTGGTGTCACATGATGTATCGGGACTTTTCCCCTTCTCGAAACCAGCCATGGGCATGGCCAGCGCATGATGCATCCACCCACAGGCTGGGAGTTTGAGAACCCTGCTTTATAGGAACAGTGAATAAATTTTAAGGGATTTTTGATAATTTGAAGATAGCATTACAGTCCAATATCCACTTGACTGGGAACAAGCCCTATTAAGCTTACTTCTTAGCTGAGTGCATAAGATTATACTTTAAAGTCATAACAAGGTTAAAGCTAAAGGCTCATTAAAATTCATGAGGATGAGGCACATAGTACAAGCCTAAATTATCATTAATTTCAAAGGAAATATTTTAGGAAATTAACTTTCTGAAGTGTCCCTAACATTTTAAGACTGTACTTTTTCCAAACAGCAGATTTTCTTTTATCGCATTTTTTTTCAACCCAGAACTATTGGTTTATCTGCAAACATGCAGAAGTACATGGATTTTGTTGCTATATATAAGTATGTGCACGGTCAATAGTCTAATTATTATTGTAGAGAAATTGAAGAATGAATTAACCTATCTAAAACTCTCCACATACAAAATCATCTGCATAAAGACAAAAATAAATATTGTACTATTAAAATCTTCTAATATTTGTTTTGAAAAGTAATTTGAACCACATATTTGTTGTTAATCTTTAGAGTTATATCCTGAATGTGAATTAACACAGATGAAAGTATATAAACAATATATGATGATGGACCCAGTCTTCATCAGAAGCAAATGGAAGCTAATTACAGAATTATCCTAAATTTATCTAGCTTTTGAGAACTTCAGGAGAGGACCTTCTTGTGATCCTATTAGTACATTAAATAGAAAATAAAATTCTTGATATACAGGATTAGAAGTTCAGAACTTTGTGGCTGTGCTATTGCACTCAGTTGCTTTAATAATTACATTGGGTGGCATGATGGTTCCTTGGTTAAGATGCTTGGCTCTTCAGTTTAAAACCAGCCCAGGTTTGAGACCTGAGTGTCATGCAATGGGGTGAGCTCCTATTATATGCCCCAGCTCCTGCCAAACTAGCAATTTGAGAGCATGCAGATGTGAATAAATAAATAGATACCATTTCAGTGGGAAGGTTTCTGAGTTCCATATTTTCATGCTGGCTACTTGATGATGTTGTTGAGCTGTGGTGGCACAGTGGTTAGAATGCAGTATTGCAGGCTAATTCTGCCAGCAATTCAGCAGTTTGAATCTCACCGGCTCACGGTTAACTCAGCCTTCCATCCTTCTGTGGTTGGTAAAATGAAGACCCAGACTGTTGGGGACAATATGCTAACTGTACACGGCTTAGAGAGGGCTGTAAAGCAGGGGTCACCAACCTTTTGAACCTCAGGGATCACCAAACTCATACTTTTAAATCCCGAGGACCACTAATATGATTTTTTAAAATATAATAATATATTTAATATAATAATTTTTATATTAAATACAAATATTAAAAATTATGTGTGTGTATGTGTGTGTGTGTGTGTGTGTGTGCGCGCGCGCGTGTGTATACACACACACACACACACACTTATAACTGTGGCTGCCTGGAGTTAGGGGAGGGAAGGAGGGCCAGGCTGCTTTCATCCCTCCCCCACCTGCACCTTCCAAAGAGACAGAAGAGCAAAGGGGGGTCTGAGCTGAGGGGCCTCAGGGCAACTGCTGCTGGGAGAAGCAGAGGCAGAAAGGGGGCTTTGCTCTCTTTGGGGGGCAGCGTCTGTGGGCTGCCCCTTCAGGGGCTTCTCAGCAGGCAGCTTCCTGCAGAAGGACTGCTGCCCTTGGTGATTAATTGGGGAGGGAGGGGGAGAAAGTGGGGGCTCCAGGATGGGGATGCCAGGGCTCTTCCAGCCTCACCTGGAGGCAGGCAAGAAAAGGGGTGGTGGTTGACACCTTCACCTCCCAAGAGGAGAGTTGCTTTCCTCCATCAGCCCTCCATCTGCCGCTTCTGCTGTTCCTCACCTCTCCTGACCCGGGAGGGGAGCCTGGCACTGTTTCCTCCCTGCCCAATGGCTGCACCCTCAGTGGGAGAGAACCCCAGAGCCCGGCAATGGCCGATCTGCTCCTCCCAAGTGCTGTTTCCCTGCCGTCTGCCTCGCAGAGCGGGGGATGAGAGAGGTTCCCCCTCCAGCCAAGCTATCAGGCACTCTTTGAGAGAGACAAGAGAATCAGCCAGAGTCACTCTTGTCTCTTGAGAGCCCGGCCAGTTTCTCATGCCGCTTCAGCTACAGAGACAACAGTTTGTAGGGGGCCGATTTAGCATATGCAGAACTAGGGTTGACTCCAGCTGCTTCTCTCTGCTGCACTACAGATGTGGCAGGACACGAGGGGCTGCCTTGGCGCCACCAGCTGCCGTAAATATACCGTGGCGAAGGGAGATGCAAATGTGAGTACTTCTTCCAGCCACCACTGCTTCAGCCCGCAACCCTCCCCTCACGACAGCACCATTAGCTCATTCCAGCCACCATGGGCCGGTCCCATATTTCAGAGTGTAGTCATCCCGATGGAGGAACTGCTCTGGGATGACCAAACAGCAGTTCTGTGACTACTACAGCTCTGGAATATGGGACCAACTTTCCCACCAACATTAGCAAGTCACCCCAGGGTGGATTTCCCTCCCCCGCCATTGGTCTTACCTTCCAGTTGCAGCTCACATGACACTCTACTCAGTCTCAAGGTTTGCTCTCGGCTGAAGGGTGGGAGGCAGCAGGTGGGCGGGCCAGGTGGGCGGAGCAGCCTTGTTTTCCCATATGGCCCAGATTAATTGCTTTCGGGGGCTATTTCGCTGCTATTTCTCTGTGGACCATCAACATTTTGCCACGGACCGCCAGTGGGCTGCGGCCCCCTGGTTGGCGACCACTGCTGTAAAGCACTGTGAAGCAGTATATAAGTTTAAGCACTATTGCTATTGTCAGACAACGCAAGTTCCCTTGTCTGAGAATCAGAGCTGAGTACCCTGCTTCTTGAGTTGGTCATGACTGGACAGATGAAATCTTTAAACCTTTAGTAGATATGTGACATATGGTAAGAAATTCTTATAGCTGATGATTTTTTTGTAGTTGATAATTCGGATGGAATTGCAATGCATGTTTATATATTACATATCAGATTTAATGACTGAAGTTCATTATATTTTCCAGGTCTTCATCCTTTACAACATGACATAATTGGTGTCACAATAGAAGCTGCAATAAAACAGCCATAGCCATGAATGTTAAGCTTGATATAGAATTCTTATAATCAGATTGAAATCATATTTAGTAACCAAGAAGAAAACTTATAATCATAAAGTGCTATCCTGATAAATCATATTTTAATATCTTATTTACATTATCTAAGAATGTTTCAAGAACATGAAAACATAAAATTATTTTCTTTCCATAGGGCGTGATAATGCATGTGAGAAAACATCGTACATGTTCCTGAGAAAAGAGCTTCCTGTGCGACTTGCTAATACAATGAGAGAAGTAAATTTGTTGCCTGAGAACTTGTTGAATAGGCCTTCTGTTAAGCTAGTACAAAGTTGGTAAGTGCTCATTAAAATAATAGCAGTCAAATAAACATGAGCTACACAACAAAAATTAGTTATGGCATATTTTATTTGCTTATGATTAATTCAGTAGCTGTGTTTCTGTTCTGTTCTATACTTGCCTTGAATACACCTTCCTATGTGCATTTTTATTTCTTTTAGGCAAGCTCAATTCACTTTTTTCCTGACCTCGTAGAAATTATTCCCTGTTTTTACTATTCCCCTAATTTTCTGTTTTTTTTAATATGCCGCAACACATTTAAAATAATTTTGTATATATATGTATCAACATTAACAAATTTATGTAATTTTATAGTGTAAGATTATACAATTTTAATTGTGTAATTTTATGATATAAGACTAAGGTTATCCTTTACCACTGAAGATAATTTATATTATCTTAAGTTGACCTTTCTTTAAAATATTTTCCTATATAAGTCCTTGCTTAATGGTAACTTAACTGGTAACTTAACAATTGTCCAGCTTAATAGCCTTGGAAAGGATGCTTTAAGACCTGTAAAACACTTTGACCATCACAAAGCATGTAACACACATGTCATGTCAGTGTGATGTGGATGCTTAGCAACCTGTTCTAAGTTATGGGCATTACCAATGCTCAAATCATGTGATAACACTCATGTTATAGTTCTCTGTTACAGAAGCCTATACAAATAATATTGGAAATATTGGTCTCTCATATTGCAAAATTATGATAGCTATGATTGTTATCTTGGTTAACTTTTGTGCAAAAAGAAATCACCCCAATTTGGATACTTGTGACATTCTTTATTTGCATTGAAAAATTGTTCTATCGATCAGAGCCTTCCATTTCTCCTACTCCATGTTGACTAATTTTTTTCAGCAAAAAGTTGTCCATCCTTAGGGGGTACGTTTACAGTTTCACTAGCTTCTGGGAGAAGCTGATTTCTTTATTTCTTTTTCCAAAATAATTTTTATTAAATCATAGAATCAAAGGGCTGGGAGGGACCTTAGAGGTCTTCTAGTCGAACCCTGACAATTCCAGGAGACAAGCTGTTCATTGATGATTGTTTTCACTGTCAAGAAATTTCTCGTTAGTTCCAGATTGGATCGATCTCTAATGAGCTTCTACTTACTGCTTCCTGTCCTATCCTCGGGTGTTTTGGAAAATAAGTCAACCCCCTCTTCCCTGTGACAACCCCTCAAGTTCTGAAAGACAGCTATTGTGTCATCCCTAGACATACCTAGTTTTCTTAACTCTTCATCATGCAGTTTAGCCTCCAGACCCCTTATCATCTTCATTGATCTTCTCTTCACTCTTTCTAGGATTTCAACATCTTTTTGTATTGTAGCAGCCAACTTTTTGCATTTTTGTGTTGTAGTAATCAGAACTGAAATATTCCAAGTGTGGCCTTAGTAGTGCCGTATATAGAGCTGTGGTGGCACAGTGGTTAGAATGCAGTACTGTAGACTACTTCTGCTGACTGCCAGTTGTCAGCAGTTTGGTAGTTCAGTTCTCACCAGCTCAAGATTGACTCAGCCTTTCATCCTTCTGAGGTCGGTAAAATGAGAACTTAGATTGTTGGGGGTAATATGCTGACTCTGTAAATGGCTTAGGGCTGTAAAGTACTGTGAAGCGGTATATCTAAGTGCTATTGATATATAGCACTAACTGTCACTTTTTGTGATCTTGAAACTAATCCTCTGTTGATCCAGCCTAACATTGCATTGGCTTTTGACAACTGCATCACACTGCTGGCTAATATTTAAATGGTGGTTGTGGGTTAGTGGCCTGACATGAGGGAGAGGGGCAATGGGCCACATGAGCGGTAGACTGGGGCACATGCATGACAGCTCAACTTTCACAAGTTGAGCTGTGCGTGTGCACACCTGATGGCTAGTTGTGAATAGGCCACAGCCTGGGGTTTGGGGACTCCTGCACTAGGACACATAAATCCCTCTAACGTTGAACCAGGTACCACCTGTTTTATACCTGTGCATTTGAATTTCCTTTCCTAAGTGCAGGACCTTACTATTCCCACCATCGAGAACTGCATCTTGTTGTATAGAATCTAGTGCTCAAATCCGTCAAGATTCTTTTAAATCTTGAGTCTATCTGCTAGACTGTTAGCAATTTCCCTCCAGGTTGCTGTCCACAAATTTAATATTCAAATATCAAATATGTTATTCTTCTATGTTTCAGGTATATGCAGAGCTTTCTTGAGCTTTTAGAATATGAAAATAAAAGTCCTGAAGATCCACATGTTTTAGATAAGTAAGTAAAGTGTTTAAACATGAAATCAGTATGTTGAACTTGGGCTGCGTTTAGTCTTGTTACAGTTCAGAAAGCTAACAATACTTCAATGAGTACTTTTGAATTTTTTAATTAATTAATTTTTAAATTGTAATATTTTTTAATTATTGTATTAGAACAACTTATACAGTACTGATGTATTTCTAATTACGGGATTGATCTAGTTTAAAATGGAGAAATCAGTATTGCAGTTTCAGGTGAAATTACCTCAGAAAGATATAAGAACTAGATTGGGTTTAATAAATAAAAATTGAACAAATAAATATAGAATATCTTGAAACTATTTGTTTCCCTTCTTGAGCTAAAACTTTCAGTTAGTATAACATTAAATAGTTTGAATAAGTTTAATTCAAAAAGCACAGATAGACTAAGCATAAGCACAAACTACCAAATTTCCTTGTGAAAAACATTATCTAGTAAGAGTGAGTTTTCCATGTTTTCTCTTTGAAAGTCATAAAAATCAAGTGATCCAGTTTTATTGCCATGTATCATATTCCTATTGGCAATTCATAGAAGTTTTCTGTATACTTCTATTTTCTTAATTTGAAGCAGCAAAGTAGAAAATTGGACTTCATTTGGCATTGTCAAATTCTCCTAGAATCACCAGGTTGTAATCTAAGTTTTTAAGCATTAAGTAATTTTCAAGAACATGTGCTTTTCCAATCAGCAAGCCAAATGAATAGTTTAAATACCCCTTGGTCAATATAAAGTTTTGGGATTTATTATTATTGTTCAGATTTTTATTATTCTTAGAGTAATAAATCATATGAAAACTGCATGAAGAATTTTCAACCTTATTTAAGCTGTGCTGATTAGATGAGGAAAAAGGCAAGTAAGGAATCTTAGAAAGTGATACTCTCTTGCAATCAGAAATATATGCTAGAGAAGTACCTGCAAGAAAAAATGATATGGTTTTATTACTGGATAGAAAAGGTTATATTTACATTTCTTCACTCCTCCAGGCAAAAAGAAATTTCTGGAAGGAGAAATGAAACTTAAAGTCAGCTTAAAGTCAATACGTAATAGCGACAAGGGACATCCTTGTCTTGTACCCTTCTTAATAATAACCTTTTCAGTCATACCTCCATTTATGATCACTTTTGCAATTTGTTTGTAACATATTGCCTTAATCATTTTAATAAATTGCTCCCCAAAATCCATCTCTTAACTGTGCCAACATAACTGCCAGTTCATGTTGTCAAACGCCTTCTGTGCATAATTTGTTTCTTAGGTAAAAAGCCATTTTGATCTGAGTGTATAAACCGATTTAAAAATCCCTTTAGTCTTTCTGCTATAATTGATGCAAATATTTTATAATCCACATTCAGTAATGATATCAGTCTATAATTTTGAATCTGTTGCAAGTCTGAGTCTTCTTTTGGTATGAGAGTAATATATGTTTCCATCCAAGCATTAGGTACTTTCACCTCTGATGATAAGTCATTAAATACTTCCAACATCTTTATATAGTTCTGCTGATAGACCATCTGATCCTGGTGTTTTGCCATTCTTTTGTCTTTTAATTGCTTCTGTTAATCCATTGTATATAATATCATTGTTATTCTCTCTCCTAACGTTGCTTTAACTATTTGTTGTACTGTCGGTAATTCCGCTTTTTGTAGGTATTGTTTTATTTTATCCTCTGAACTTGTCTCTTGATGGTATAGTTTTTCGTATTATTTTTGGACTATTTTCATTTTATCTATTAGTTGGTGAATCAATTTATTTTCTTTCTCTTTTTTCAATTTGTATGCCAGCCATCTTCCTGGTTTGTTTGCATTTTCAAAAAAGTTTTGCTTAACGTTTTTAATTTTTTGCGCTAGTTCCTCTTTATACATCAAATTCAGCTTATGCTTTTTTAATTCCATTTGCTTTTCAATGTTCCTTTTTTGTGGGTCTTTCTGTAGTTTAGTCTCTAGTCTCTTATAGTCTTCTAATCTTTTTTTTTTTTTTGCATTTGTCTCTTCTTTTTATTTCTCTTTCCCACCTGTTATCGTTAATCCTCTAATATATGCCTTTATGGTATCCCATAAATTTTGTAGTGAAGTTTCTTCTTTTCTGTTCTCTTTAAAGAAAAAATCCAATTCTTTTTCCATAAACTGAATATATTCTTTTTGTTTTAATATTGTTTGATTCATTGTCCATCTCAATTTCTTTTTTTGTCCTCTCCATATAGGTTTAATCAGATTATGCAGGATGTTTTCTGCCCTGTGTCTCTTCCCTGTTGAAGACAGGTGCAGGCTATTGGAGATGAATCTGTGTTGTCTGCCTCTCAAACTGAAGTGCAAATGATTTCTTTTTTTCTTTTGAAAATTTTATTGATTTTTAAAAACAAACATAAACAAACAAAACATAAAACGTAAAAAAATAAAACATCTTTTTTGAAAGCAGCCTGATCCCGGGTTACATCTCTTCGTGCAGACACAAATTCAAATTCATGCTCATTTTTATATTCCATTCCATATCTTATTACCATTCTACATTTTCTATATAACTTCTCCCCTCTTTCAACTTTCTTAATTTTATTTTATTTATTTCATCTCAATTCAAATCATCATACTTATATTCTTTGTCTGTCCTGTTTCAGCTGTCTATTATCTTTTCTCATTAAGCAAAATTTATCCTGTGATCACTGATTGGAGTATGACGCCTTTATATCTTTCCCCTAAAATTATAACACTTAATATAATACATAACTTCCGTTTGGATTCTGCTTGGTACATTCTAAAACTACACAATGTATTTTAAAAAGAAGAAATTATAAATATATAACATAATTAAAACAACAATCCATACCAATTTGATTCTATCATTAATATTAATATTCATTTAAATCTTGAACATTTTACACATTACTTTTCAAATAAGTATCATATTTCTATGGAAACACTTATAAACTTTCCATAATTAGTTCCCTCTCACTTCACTTATATTTTATAAAACGTTGAGTAGTTAAAATGTTCCCATTCCTTCCTAGTTCAAATCTCTCATTTATTTCCTTTCGTTTATTTTGTTCACAGAAGTTTCACTAAATTACACTAACTATTTTATTCCACTTTTTAATCATATGTTGTTTCCAATTTTCTAACATTATTTCTATTACAAATATAATACAATCTTATGTACCTTTACAGAATTCCTTTTTCAGTTAAATTTTCACCCATTATCTCTGAATAAATCCTGTTTCTTTACATCTTGCTCCAAAACTTTGTAACTTCTCTTCCCTTCCTTTTTCCCTTTCTTCTCTCTCCCCTTTTTACCCCCCTGTCTCTCCACCTCCATTTCCCTCTTCTGTATTCCCCTTTTCTGTTGCTTTCCAACATTATATCCCCTTTTCACATTATTTTCCCCTTTTTTGGCTGTTTTTTTTACGTCTTAAATTCTCCATTCTCTTTCCCCACTTTCCCTTTTCTTCCTCAAATACAATTACTTGTTCATTAAAAATGGCTTCTTCTTTGTCCCAATCTTCTTGTTGCGCAGTCTTTTCTTGTTTCTTGTAGACACCAATCGCCATTTCTAAGAATTGAAAAATGGAGCCAAAGGAGCCCTTCCCTTGTTCCTCTTCTTTATATTTTTTAAATTCGATTTTCAGTTCATCCAGTTCATTCAGTTCATCCAGTTCATTCAGTTCATCCAGAGGTGATGCCATTGTAGTTTTTTTTGTTTAAACAACCACCCAATTGTTTTTAGTCATTCAAATATGATTTCCAAAAGTCCCAAAATCACCAAGCAATCCAAATACACACAAGCTATTTCTTTTAACACTTTCTTCTTTTTTCACTTTCTCTTCTTGGGGTTACTATTTAGTTGCAAAGTTCCAGTTAAAATGTATCCTTTAGAAGTCTTGTTAAGATTTAACTTTAAATTCTTTTGAATTCCAAGCAGTCTCCTCCTTCCAAGTCCTGCCCTTATTCTTTTCCTCTCCCTTCTCACTTATAGCAAAAAAAGTATTTTTTAGTGTTCAGAAATCTTTATTGTCCCTTTGGCATTTAATTATATTTCCAGTTTAATTACCTGTTGGTGCCAAAGTGGATTTTTCCAATTTCTTTATTCAGATCTTCTCGTTATCAGCGGGAGGGAGGAGAGTGAAGAAAAAAAAACTTTCCCTTTTCACTTTCCTTCGCTGCTTCCGACTCTTCTTTAGGAGCGATGTATCTTTTGCACAATTTAAATTCCAGGGTACCTTGGTTGTTACTTTTTGTCCCGGTCAGCCAAAAACTTTCACTTCTTAACTTCCTCCTGCACTTTCTTTTCTGGCTGAGTGCTTCTTTGAGGCGGCCATTTCTGACCGCTGCTCTTACCGTCTTCGGGAAAGGGAGTTTAGCCAGCTGAGGAGGAGAGGTGCGGCTCCCCTCAAACCCTGCTGGGCCTCCCCCGTCTTCACCACTTCTATGGGGTGGCTTAGCCCCAAAGCCAGCTGGCTCAGGACGCTCCAGCGGCGAGCCCAGGCAGAAACCGCTCACGATCGCGGATTCCTGCCTGCCGCCGAAGCCCTGCAAACCGGAAGCCCAAGTGCAAATGATTTCTGTAATATGTATTTTTGGGGGAAAATCTGTTCATACCATTTATCCCAAAGTGCATAGCTAAAAGACTGTGGACTCTAAAAGAGTGCAAATGACCAGCTGTCTGCAAGGAATATAAATCCTTCCATTCCCCACCATACAGTCAGAGCTGAATAAGCTTCTTGGATGAAAAGCGAACAAAGTCCATTTGCCTCCTGAAAAAAGCACATTTGGGACAGTCATGACCTGGATGACTGAGAATCTCCATAGACTTTTAGCTATGCACTTTGGGGTGAATATTCTTCGAATGGTGTGGGAGTGGTCAGAGCTGAAGAAACTTCTTTCATGAGAAGTGAAATGTCTTCAAAGAAAAAACAAGAAAGTCCCGTTGCCTCCTGAAAAAAGCACATTTGGGACATAAATGATATATCATTTTTATTTTAGAACTATAGGGCAGCAAGAATATCATTTTTAATTTTACAACTATTGCACAATAGAAGTTTTCATTAACATACTGGACAACTTTGTTCAAACTTTTCTTTCAACAAACTATGGTTCTTAATTGCGAATGAATGTTTTGATACTATTATCTAAAATTTGAAAATAACAGTAACTGTAATATTTCTGTTTCTATTTTTTTTCTTTGCAGCTTTTTAGATATCTTAATTAAAGTCAGAAATCGACACAATGATGTTGTTCCTACCATGGCTCAAGGAGTTATTGATTACAAGGAAAAGTATGGATTTGATCCATTTGTGAGCAGTAATATTCAATATTTTTTAGATAGATTCTATACAAATCGCATCTCATTTCGCATGCTCATTAATCAGCACAGTAAGTATCTCTTTAGTTAATTGTAAGAAAATAAATTGGTCTTTTACAGCAAAAAGGGTATATGCTGTAGTGAAAACATATTTTTAAAGAGTGTTATTTTTAACATATGTTATTTATATCTTTGTTACTCAAAATTTCATTTCACTGTATATAGTTGCCTTTCCTCCTCTCCTTTCTTCTCATTTGAAATTGGTGAAATAGTTTAGCACTAGAGAGAGAGGGGATAATTGGCTAAAGCAGGGGTTGCCAACCTTTTGGACCTCAGGGACCACCAAACTCATAATTTTAGATCCCAGGGACCACAAACTGGTTCTGTGGGCATGGCCTAATTTGTGGGTGTGGCTTGGTGGTCATCTGACTGGCTGGGCATGGCTTGTATGTAAATATTATAAATATTTATATAAATATTGAATTCAGGCAAAGCAGGCAGGCAGATTGAGTTGCTCACAGAATCACAGATTCATTCAGAGTATCTATCTGCCATTGGCTAGCTCAGTCTGTCACACAAAGTTTGCTTGCAAGCAAACTCACAAAATTAACTCACAACACACCATATATGTAAATATTGAATTTTTTTATTAAAAAAAGCAACTTTTATCCAAAATCAGGCAAAGCAGGCAGATTGAGTTGCTCACGGAATCATTCATTGAACTATCTATCTGCCATCGGCTAGCTCAGTCTCTCAAATTTGCTTGCCGTGAGTCTGCACTGAATTTGCTTACAAGCAAACCTTCAGTCCTAAGAGAGGTTCGGTTGTGCTTAGCTAGAAAGCAAGATATCCAACCATTTCCTGCTTCCTAGCTAATCTAAATCTCCCGGCACAGCAGAACAGATGATGATCGGAAAAAGGAAAAATAGCAACTTAGCAGACAAGTTTGCCGGGTAAGGAGTAAGTGGGCGGGGAGGGTTCCTGCGGGCCATGTGGGCTGAGCAGCCTTGTGTTTCTGCACAGCCTGGATTAATTACTTTGTGGGGGTGCTCTGGAGGTGAGATTTCTCTGCGGCCCACCAACATTTTCTCACGGCCCACCAGTGGGTCGCGGCCCACCAGTTGGCGACCGCTGGGCTAAAGAATATACAGAGTATAATAAGCAATTGGGCATTTAGTCCTGGATCTCCAACATTCTAGTTGAACATGCTACATACTATCCTGCCCTGATTTCGCTTAATACCGGCTAACAAAATAATTAGCAATTGGAATTATTGAATTTGTGTCTTTCTTAGGCTTACACTGTACTGCACAATTCATCATTAGAGATGAACAAATATGAATATTTAATGGACAAAAAAACCTTTGGGAGTGGGAGGGGATTTTGGATTTTATTTGGCAGAAACAGAAAGGCATATCAGTCAAAATTAATAGGAAACATCCCAACAGCTTTTCTAGATATTTTCCCCCTCCAACTTTTCAGGAGAAATGAATCTGGTGAGAAATCTAGAAAATAACCTTGGAAAATACCTGAGCAATATAAGGTATATAGAAAAACTGTAAAAGGTATATTGATTTCAGGACCTGTTGCTAAAAAAAACTCAAAAAAGGAATGTATAATTAATGTCTTTGCTTGTTTGGCAAGGAATAGTTGCTTCAGTTTGTACATTAGGTAGAAAGCACTGTCATATATGGTGTCTCCAAGTCATAGTAATTGCCAAGGCTCAGTGCTCAGGTGGCTTATCTTTTTTTAAAAAAATTAAGCAAGGCTCAATTGAATTGCATACTATTTATCAGTTAAGGAAATCTGATTTGCATTTTTTGTCACTATGATTGTGCTAATGCTAGTTTTTCCCCACAGTCCAGTTTAAAAACATACCAGTGGAACCATTTTAAAAACTGCAGTAAAAATATTATGATTCATCTAACATGATGCTATTTCACAGATTTAACTTTGAAATTAGTATTGAAATTATTCACTAATTATCTACTTGGTCAGGTTTGATGATGGCATATTTTAAGCCTACTTCAACAGCTATAAATAAGTTAATGTGTTTCTTGCTCAGTTATTTTCAGGATGTCTTTTTTTTTGTATACGTGTGTAAAGAATGTGTACTATACATACCATTCCATTGCATAAAGTTTGCAAATTTTATTTAATATAAGTGCGGTATATTTGGATATGCTTCTCAAGAAGCAGCTAATATTTAAATTACCAAGACTGATGAAATAAACTGTAGGATATTACTTACTGTATTTCTATAGTGCCATTGTCAACTCAAAAATATTTCTCTGGTCTTTTAGAATTGCCAGCAGAAAGGGTGTGGGGGAAGAAGTGCATTCCTTAGATAATTTCTAGGCAACCAAAACTTGTGGCGTGCAAGATTATTACTGGAGAGCATGATAGATGACTCTTGGCTATGGATGTATTCCATTGAAGAATATACATCCAGGGGGTGAAGGAAAACCAGGGTCAAGGGTGAAATGAATGATGTGTCTCAGAGTCGGCTACACCCAGGTAGCACTTGGCATGTTCACTCCTAATAAATCTTTAAACTGAGAGATGCGGCTAGAGACTTGTAATTTAAATGGGAGTGGATGCCAGAACCGTGATAGCCATATCTCTAAAGGACTCATGGCAGTGCAAAATTAAAATTAAATTAAAAAAATAATCAAAACCTGTGTAATGACATCTAACCAGAGATTTAAAATTGATATAAACCATCCCACTAGGTTAAACAGCAAAAGAAACTCCTGAGATATTTATTTACCAGGAGTATAACTTTACTGAAGATTCCATGTGGTTACAGAAGTAGAAAAGCCAGTTCTAACATTTTCCCATGAAAACAGCATAGATAAACTTTTCCTTTGTAATTGGAACTTTGTTCATTGTCCATCAATCATTTGCATTCACTTTGTTTTGGGAATGATCTGACTGCTTCAGACTGTCCCAGCCAAATGACCTTGTAGTGTTAGGTTTGTCTCAGGCTTTCAGCTCATTTCACCTCATTTTCCTCCCAAACCTCCATTACATTCCAAGGCCTTTCATCCCCCCTCTCATTAACAATTGTCTGGTTGCAAGTGAAGCTGCGTAGCATGTCAACCATTACATGCTATCCCTCCAGAAGGAAGATTAATCCTACAAGGAAACAAACACACACACATTATTTATTATACCATGATCCCTCTGCACAGGCTTACCTACTGGAGTTGGACTGGTATCTAGTGTGGAAGGGGGCATTTGTCTGATGAGGGGGCATGGGCATTTGTTGCTATCACTTATTCTGCCTTCTGCCAAGTGAAACCTCTTCCATAAGACTAGGTACTGCAATTTCTCCTTGTAGCAGCAAGAGTCAAGGATCTTCTTGACCTCTAAATGGTTTTCTCCATCTACGCATATGGGGTGGAGGAGAGAGGCAGCTTAATGGCTGGCCTCAGCGGTGAACTGAAGAAGGGCTTAAACCAGCTGTCACCAACCAGTGGGCTGGTGCCACTGGTGAGCCGTGAGAAAATTTTGGTGGGCTGCAGGATACTGAGGCGGGGAGGTGGGGCAATCCTGCAGTCTCCCGTGTCATGGCTGTTGCCTCCTGCCACAGTGCATTGAGGAGGCTGAGCAGCAGCGGGAAGAGCGTGGACCTCCTGAGCTGCAGGAAGCAGCTGCCCTCAGGTGAAGATGTTGCGAGGGGAGGCTTGACCGCCTCTTCCTCCTCACTAGAAGTGCTCACACACTCAGCGGGAAGGAGGCAGTTTGTCGGGGGCCAGAGGGGCAGTGAGTACTTTACATTTGAGCACTTCTGGTGAGGAGGAAGAGAAACTCCAGGGAGGCGTAAGAGATTGTGCCTTCCCCTCTCAGGCCAGGAAGCACCTGGGAAGAGCTTCGATGACGCGGTCTCCAAATCCCCTGCCCTCAGGAGCTTCTCTTCCTCCTTACCAGAAGTGCTCACACACTCAGAGGGAAGAAGGAGGCTTGTCGGGGGCTAGAGGGGTGGTGAGCACTTTGCGCATGAGTGTTTTTGGCGAGGAGGAAGAGAAGCTTCTGGGACGAGTCTCCTCCTTGCAACATCTTACCTTGAGGGAATCACTGGCAGCTGCTCAACCTCTTCGATGCGCAGAGGCAGGAGGTAACACCATTTCAGGGGATCCTTTCCCCCACCCCTTCGCAGGCCAGGCCTATGGCACGATCTCCCGTGCGTATGAGTCCATCCACCACCAGTATCACCCCTGTTGCCCCACCTTCCCGACAGCCATCTGGTTTTAAGAACATGGTTCATCAGCCCAGGGTGGAGGTTGCCCTCTGTGCTGAACCATGCATGCTTGTGCCTGCGCCCGCCAGGGGGAAGTGACCTCTCTCAGCTTGGACTCTGGGTTTGTGACTTGTATATCTTAACTGGGACTGGGATGACTTCGCCTCACCCATGGGACCACCGAGTAGCAGCTGCCAGCTCCTTTATCCACACACCAAGTCTTACCATGGGAAAGAGCAGCTGGGGTATCAGTGTAGCCGCTCGGTTAGTTCATAATCGCCCTACCTGGAGAAGGAGGTACTGGAGGAGGAGGATGCAGTAGTGGAGAAGCAAGCCAGGTGTTAAAGACTCGGGGTGGGGGGAGGCAGCCACACCTGGCAAAGGAGGGAGAGGTTTTCTCTGACTTGTGGGAGATATGAAATGACAGGAGACCAGATTTGAGGGGGGGCTCTGCTTTTTTTGTTACATATATATATATATCTTTGTTATAATTAGATAAGCAGATAGATAGATAGATAGATAGATAGATAGATAGATAGATAGATAGA